AGATTTTGTATCATATTATGAATTCAAACTTTCATTGGTGGATTGTGAGATCAAGTTTCTCCATCTTTCCTTTTTTTTTTTTTCATGAGTAAGAATCTCGGGAAGTTGAGATTAAAATGTTAAAGGGTGAGTTTGGCATTCAAGGCAACACCAATGCCAAGCTTTTATCAGAAACCTCCACCGCCGAAGCTGGAACTAAAGAAGGTAATTTGTTCATTTGTTGCTTGCTACACAATTTGAATGTTAAAAATGTTTATTTTCTGTTTATAATTTGGAATGCTGTGTTAAAATGTAATAATTAATTTGGAACATTTATGAGGTGTATTAAAAATGGACTTCTTAAGTTTAGCGCTTGAATTTGATCGATTGGATTTGGATGTATGACAGTTTAGATAAAATGTCAATGAGTGTTTTATATGCAAGTATACAAGAACTTATTTCACTTGTTGCTTTTGAATACATCATAAAATATTTATGAGGTGTATTAAAAATGGGCTTCTTAAGTTTAGCGCTTGAATTTGATCGGTTGGATTTGGATGTATGACAGTTTAGATAAAAATGTCAATGAATGTTTTATATGCAAGTATACAAGAACTTATTTCACTTGTTGCTTTTGAATACATCAAAAAATATTATGGTTCTCGTTGATAATTTGCATTGATTTTGCGTTGGCATCAAAACTAACAAGCTACAATCCTTTTTGCAACTATACTTTGACTAATTCGAGGATGCTTGCTATTTTGATTGCTTCTTTCAGAATGTGTTATTTGGAGCATGCTTATTGAAAATTGTAGACAATCATCCACTGACACCTAGGGAAAAATATTTACCAAGTGTTTCTACTCCATTGTATTAGTTTTGATTGGTTGGGTGAAGCATTTTATTGCATTTAAACTTTGGAAAGACGAGAAAGCTTAATGATACAATTTATATTTTTCTTGACACTTGTCTTCACTTTGCTCTAATCCAAGCAAATAAATATCACGGTTAAACACCTGAACATATATACGATGTGTTGTAACATAAAATCATTGCATGATTTCCTATATTTACTTGTCAAAGCTAACCAGCAAAGAATACTTTGCCAATAATTTCATCGTCCCATATATTTTTAAAAAACGTTCCATAGTGCACTAACCAAACCAAATTTGATGCATAACTCGTGCATTCCACGTATCATCGACTAGTTATTTACTAGAGTTCAATGTGTCTTGAGAATCTAATCAATGGATGCATGTTGGGTGAAACGGGTCTAGAAGCTAAAGACGATTGGTATTCCTTTAGTCAAATCGTCTCCTAGTAAAAACAACACATATTATAAATTATAGATTGAAAAAATCATTATAAATCAAAGATTATTATAAATCACCGAGATAATCTTTGTGAAAATAAAGTTGATCGTGATATAATTATTTTGAAATCCCTTACACACTCAAAAACAATCGAAGCATGAATATATAGCTATACTTGGACCTCAATAGGGAAGGGAAAAAAAAGCTCCAATAAATCTTTATTTTAGGGAGATATCTTAGTCCATCCTTATATAACTTCAAAGACTTATTATTAAAAAAAAATAGTAACACCATACATTGAGATTAAAAAATATATTATTTATAATTTAATAGAAATTGTAGGAAAAAAGGCCTATAACAAGTTAGGCTTTTACTATTTCAGCCCCTCTCTCTTGGGGTGACAATTAATCGAGGTAAGCTGACTCATGAGCTCATTGACCAAAGACATTTGCTCATCACACGTCCATTGTTTGAATTGAGGCAACTTGCGAGGCTCATGAATTTTACTTGTCAAGTTCAAGTCTATCCATGGACTTGTAGTGAAAAGGGTTGAGTTGCCCATACTATGCCAATAGTACCCTATAAAACCCTCAAGTGAATCTCATATTTCTAAAACGAATTATATAGGTGTTGCGTTATATGGTGCATTTTCCGTCATATTTGGGTCCATGATCAATGAAAAATTGCCAAATATTAATATTTAATAATTCTGTCATGTTTCCCATAACTGTATTAAAATACGAACTTGAAAGATAATTTTTTATGGTCATGAAACTAACACTTAGCCCTCGTTTGGCCCCCATTTTGGGGAAATGAAAATGGGTGGAATAATTTTTTTTAAAAAATAAATGGTTGAAAAAGAAGAAATTTTTTCGATTTACGTATAATATTATTTTATGTATAATATTATTTTATGAAAGATTGTATGGTATAAAATAGGAGAGAGAAAAATGAAATGTAAGAAAATAAAAATTAATTGGGGGGCGGCCAAACGAAGGCTTATCTTTCTTCCAAAGATTTTCTGTTTTTAACAAATATACAAATGAAAATTTTATCTATTCCATTCAAATTAGAAGTCATACATAATCCAATCACATGCCCTAATAACATCAATACAATTAGGAATTCTAAAATCCTATTGGTCAAGACTCGTGGAGTCCCTGTCAAGCGCCACGTGTAACTTGAGCCCGAACAGCGAACGCTCTAGAATTTCCCCGCGAAATCTATTTATTGCATCCCCTCCCTCAACATTCTTGTTTAATTCGAAGAATTTAGGATTTTTTTTGGGAAAACTACGAAGCAGAAATCAGTTGTTGGACATATTCAATAAGATTAATAGATGAAGAGACGATTAAAATTATTTATATTTATTGTCGGGTTACTGTTTCTTCTCACGGCAGAATCGAAAAAATCCGACCTTTATAAGGTAAGCAATTTTTCAACGTTAAGTATGTGTATTTTTGGAGTTTATTATTATTATTATTATTGGAATTTGGAGTTTTTTTGGGTTTTGTTTGTAAGGATTCACTTACATTCAGGAAAGAATGAATTTGGAATTAGGATTAGTTAAAGTATAATATATTATTATTATTTTTTTGGTGGATGCTGAAAAATTATGCGTTTATGAGCTTTTTAATTTATTATCTACAGTAAGGGCAAAATTGCTAATATTGTATATATGATGATGTGTGTGAGTTAGCTCCCGATAATTTTTCATAATTAGGTTTGGGTGGGAATATTGGAAAGATATATTGAATTTCTTTGTTAAACAATGCGAACGAACAAGATTTACTGGAATTGGGATAATACGGTGATTTTCTTTTCCAAAAAATGGATAAAATACGTCCCTGATTTATGGTAAACCTAAGTAGTTCTCATTCTGTTCAATATTGAATACTAGCTGGTGTTTTACAGAATTTATTTGTACGGAGAGGTGTGATTTGAATTAACTGCACTAGTATTTGTTCTCTTGAGTTGTTAAATTTTATATTTCCGGTTAGCAATTTATACGGGATTTTGTTGTTTGGCGTCTAACAAGTTATATTTCATCAGGTACTTGGGGTTGATCAAAATGCGAGTCAACGTGAAATTCAGAAAGCTTTCCACAAGTACGTGCAGTGGGAAAGATTTAGTTCGTTCTATTTTTAGTACTATATTTTACAAAACTGTACATTAATATTATGCAAGGCATGCACGATTTCAGGCTCTCACTCAAGTATCATCCTGACAAGAATAAGAACAAGGGCGCTCATGAGAAGTTCGCAGAGATTAATAATGGTACAGCACTGTTTCAACCTCAACACCCTCCCCCCAATCTCTCGTCTCTGGGGCCACCAAAATAGTCCTCCCAGCTATACATATTCTGATGAACGATATGTGTTGATATTGCAAATGGTATCTAAGATTTGATTTTAGATAGCATTCTTATAGATATAATATTGGTGGTGGTCTATGATATGGTGCCAGGTTTTTTTTTCAATTATTTTTCCCTGAAAATTGAAGTTGAATACATGAAAAACTGTCTCCTATTTGTTTCACTTGATTTTTTTGGTTGTTTATCTTTTTTGGGTTCTCAAAGTAGTAAAATTCTAATATTTGGCTTTCAGCATATGACATTCTATCTGATGAGCAGAAGAGGAAAAATTATGATCTTTATGGGGACGAAAAGGGCAGTCCTGGATTTGATGGGGGAAACCCTGGAGACCACGGTGGATACAGCTATTTCACAAGTGGTGGACCAGGACAGAGTGGCTTTAATTTCAAGCCAGGTGGATGGCAAAATATGGGTGGGAAAGAGGGTTCAGAATCATTCTCGTTTTCTTTTAGTGGTCCTGGCTCTGGTAGTGGTAGGCAAAGCTCATTTGGCTTTGGTTTAGATGATATTTTTTCCAACTTCTTTGGAGGTGATGCAGGAGGTGGGAATCAGTTTGGTAGTTTCAGTAGATCAGGCAGTTCTCAGTATAGTGGTAGAGGGCCTTCTAAGAGTCTCCGTGCTGTAAATTCTCAGTTGCATAGGAAAGAAATAATTGATAAAGGGATGACCTGGCTCTTTGTATCTCATTCGTCCAATCTTCAAGGAATCCAACATTATGAATCCGTTATCGAGGAGGTTGCGAGCTCGCTACAGGGAGCATTAGAGGTAGTATTTCATTTTTGCATTTCCAATGTACGATTATTAGATTTCTCACTTCTTTTCATTAATACGCTGTTCTTTTTATAGGTTGGTAGCATAAATTGCGATAGTGATTCATCTTTTTGCAACGAGCTTGGTGTATATCCTCGCAGAGCACCAAGAGTGTTTATTTACTCGTATAAATCGAGTGAGAGTGGTTCCTTGGTGGAGTACACTGGTGATTTGGACGTGAAGAGTATGAAAAGTTTTGTTAAAGATTATTTACCAAGATTTTCAAAGCGCGTTGACTTGGGTCATTTGGATATCACTTCTGAGAATGCTGGAAGCTTACCCAAAGTGTTGCTTCTCTCGACAAAGAAGGATACTCCTGTCATCTGGCGTGCTCTTAGTGGGTTATATCGCAAACGTTTTGTATTTTATGATGCTGAGGTAGTTACTGATTTTATTGTGATAAGAATGTGTGACGTGTGCTTGCACGTGTAATTAGCGTAAATATTTTATGAGTTCTTCATCAACTGCAAACAGAACTGAGATGTTCTAGCTTACTTTATTACTTGCTCTCTCAAAAGGCCTTTTTTGTGGGTATTGTACAGGTTCATGACATTTCATCTGTGAAAAAGTTAGGTGTTGATGCACTTCCAGCCATTGTTGGTTGGCTATCAAATGGAGAGAAGCATATCCTAAAATCTGGGGTATCTGTTAAAGATCTAAAGTCCGCTATTCAAGACCTTAGTGGCTTGCTTGACAGTTTTGAGAAAAACAATAAAAAGGCAGCTTCAGCGAAAAAGGAGCATACTGAATCGGAGGATGAACACGTAAAGTTGCTTACAGGATCTAACTTTAATGATATCTGTGGAGAGAAAACTCCTGTCTGCATAATTGGTGCTTTCAGGTCATCAAAAGCGAAGGACAAACTCGGAAAGATTCTGCACTCGGTAAGTAATATGCTTCTTGATTTGGATGGACACGACCCTTTTATTGCTTTCAGTTTTTCGAATGTTTTGATGCTTTAAACTAGCTAAATTAACCCTGAACTTTGATGCCATTATGGGATACATCAACTTGAAGAAATTACTGAATTACTGCTACAGGAGTGGCACTTTCCTATACATATTTGAATGATTTTACATCTTTTTTATTTTATGTTCGACTTTGTAGGTATCTCAGAAATCTTTAACGAGACGGAGGATGGCCTCAAGTTCGAGGGATTCAGTTTCCTATGCTCTTCTCGACGCTACTAAGCAACAACAGTTCCTGAACGCCTTTGATAAGTCGGGATTCAAGTCATCAGACAGACTCCTGCTGGCGTACAAACCTAAGAGAGGAACTTATGCTGTATTTCAGGGTGAAGCAACCGAAGAAGAAATAGAGAAATTTATAAGTTCAGTACTGAATGGAGATGTACAGTTTACCAAAACAAAACAGAAGCCTAGTGTAAAATAACAGCTGACCTTATTTGCCTTTGAATATATGTATGTTGATTCATAGTTCCTCCTGCTGCTTTTCTTCTCCATTGTTCGCCCTTGGTAGAGTTGATTGTATAGCAACTTACGTTATTTAAAATGTACATTATTTCTTTTCAGTGGGTATATCGAACGCATGCTTGATGGCTTGCTCATAGCGAGTAGGCTAACTATCTCCAGTTCCATGCAAATTTGCCATTTTTGGGACTTGCCGGAGAGAATTTTCAGAAGGCATTGCTAGATGGTCTTTCACTATTGGGAAACAAAACAACACGAACCACATACCACTTTTGAGTCGATCTTCAGCTACACTTGCGCCTGATTCATCACGAGGAGAACTTCCCGTTCGCCTAGGAACAATTTTGTGCCTGTACATTCGATTGTTATAAGTACATAATAATTTACATATACGCGTGATGATGATGTGGTGAGATATAGTAATAATTTCTTTAAAAATAAAAATAAAAAATTCTCCACTCTCTCTCATACCTAATTTGTATGTGAACCCACGTGTGTGAAGTTTTTTAAAAGATGTTTTTAAATTTAAAATGTTTCTTGCAGATGCATATTTACGTATAAACAGGGAGGGAGGTGAGACGATGGTTACAAAATTTATTTTCATTTTATTTGTGAATTCGCATAATTTTGTGATTGTTAATCCACTATAATGAAATTTTTGATGTGTTTCATCGTTAAGGATTCAAAAATTTTTCCCCCACAAAATTTAAAGATTAAAAACCCATGTACATGCTTGCATTTACAAATTGTGGACGTCACTTTGTATTTGAAACGTTTTTTTTTTTTCAGTTTTAAGCGCTTTAATACAAACTGTTCTCTGAATTCGCACTTCATTTATCTTTTAATGATTTGGAGTTACTTCTCGTCAATTATATAAAAAAGATTGTGTAATACTAATATATGTCTGTTTTGCAGCGGAAGAAGATTTGGGGAAGAAAATGGCTCTTGCTTCTCTCCAGAAATTACAAAAACTAAACAATTCTGTAATAATATCTACGTAACAGGAGTTGAATAAAGAAAATCTTTTTGATTTTCAGGTAACTTTTAACCCGTATGATTTGTCATTGAATTCTGTTTCGCGCGGGTTAACTCGCTAACAATTAAAGGGGATCAGACGATTGTGTAAGGGACGAAACCTCTTGAGACATAGTCCCAAAAAGGGGTGTTCTTTTATTGGCGATGAACTTTACAATTGGAAATGAAAAAAACAACGTGCCTCCAAGGGGCGCAAGCACACGAGTTACAGAAAGGAAAGTGTTTAAGTCTAAAGAAATGAAAATTACATATTCTCTTGTTCGAGAGTTTTGGATTCGGTCCTTTGCTTCTACGCCTTTTCTCCCTTTTATACCTCATAGACGATCTCTTTGTGATTAACTACTCTGAAAACTGCTTGATCGTCCTATAACTACCCACTTTCTTTGTAGTGGCAATTTTGTCATGAAACCGCCTTTTAACTGCTGTCATTATCTTTCATCGTCCAATTGCCTTCGATTGACTTCCTTGAGTTGTGGAACGTGATAAGGCTGCTTTAACAACTGCCTTGATAACTTCATTCCTTGATAATTACGATGCGTTATGTTTGTTGACACCTTAGGCGACTTGAAGGTTTGGGCGAGAGTAGAATAACAGCTCTGGGCGACCGTATGACACCCGTTCGTTCAGATTCTGAGCGACTTGCAAACTTGGGCGATGGCATTACCGCATTCTTGGGCCTCTTGTTTAGGCCTTCAACTTGACTCGTTTGATTGAACTTCATTCTTTGGGCCGGCTGTTTTGGGGATTCTCCAATTGGGCTTTACTCCTTGGGCTGTTCGACTTGGGCTGAATTTTTATGTGTCAACAATTACCCCCCAATATGGCAGAATTAATAATAATTATTGAATTTTGCCATATTCACTTCACGTCTCCAGCAACGTTAGCGATTCCCAAAGAATTTCAATCATTGCTTCCCTCTATAACTTGAAAAGGTGCGTCGCTTTGCGAACCCTTATAAACTTCAAACACACCATTTTGTTGCTACCAAATCACGTTTCATATTTCTTGCGCATTCTTCACGATTCACGTAACTCTGAAAAGCTTCGTTCCTTCTTCAATGGC